AAGTTATATTAAAAATTCAAATGCCATTTACTATTAAATTAAAAACTCAAACATTTTATTAAATTAAAAATATGTGTTACCATTTAAAAAAACAAAGTTGACCCCCTTCCAAGGCATAAGGGATGAACTTAAAAAGTATTACATAGTTAAAAATTCAAGAATAATGTGTAACTAAAGATAATGAAAAAAAAAATGTTTAAATTATTATTATTCTGCAAGTAATTGAGTTGGTTATGATAAAAAAATCACCCTGTATATAATAGTCTTTACATAGTTTAATAATAAGAAAATACTTATCACCCAAGTGACCAATGACCTATATTATATTGAAGCACCCTTTCTCTAACTTTAATGTATCATCATAAAAATCATTTCATTATTAGACAAAACTATGTTCCTAACCAAGATTGCATTAAAGCTATGGTTATCTATTATGTTGGTAGAAAATAATATTTATTACAACGATTACAACCTTATCAAGGGTTGTTACGAAAGTCAATTCAATATGGTCTAATTTATATTTTACTTTAAATAGGTAAACTCCGCATAAATTTAAATATAAAAACAAAAGATAATTATTATTATGACAACATATACTACTTTATACAGCAGTCCTTATAATTTTAATTTTTCCCACAAAACTTACAACTTCTTTATCATTTCTTTTCACTTTTTCTTTAAGAATATTTTAAAACATAAAACTTACAGGAATATCATAACGTTTTTTGATTCTAAAATATAATGCTGATTAACTTTCCCAATAATAATACAATTGTGAAAAATAAACATAGATAAATAAGTTACGAGATAAATTTTACTTTTCTAGTGATATTAATATATTTAAAATCAGTTTTAAAATGTGGAATAAATGGAAATTTCTATTTAATGATATGAATATACCATAAGATAGCTGTTCAAAAACCAAAACTTTATATGCTCTCAATAGAAATACGTAGTTATTTTATGAAACAGTACTCTATATAATAATAAATACTGAAATTTTAAAGTATAGTAGCACAGTCAAGAGCTTTAAAATATATTTTTTTTTAATTAGAAAGTGGCGAGTGATTACTAAAGCGTTAATATATTAATATAACAATACATTTGAGTGCTTACTTTTCCTTCTGCCTCCAAAGCTCTGGTTTCAGCTTCCAGTACACGCCTTTCCAATTCTGACAGCTAAAAACAAAGATAAATAAATAGTTTAAAGTAATATTATTTTTATATTTTGTTATTGATTCAACACTTTCTATTAAACAACACAATCAAACATTAAAACTTAATGAAATTAACATTAAGAAAACTGAAAACTACGTTAGCCTGAAAATTTTTTTTTGGTATATATATAAACAATTTATCAACTGTAGTATTATATTAGACAAAAAAAATAAAAATTTTGATAAAATGCACCACATTTATTCATATCACCCCAAAATTGAAATTATTGATACTAAATACTTATAAATGTTTTAAAAATGTTCTAATCACTTAAATACTAGCGAAGAAGAATTATGTCTATTAATATTTAAAAAATTACAATTATTTTTAGTTTTTATATGCATTATCATAAATTAAATAAATCCATGTTATTAAAGTTGTAGGATGGAAACATATCATATGAGCCTTTAATTTAAAACTTAGTTAATTCCAGACGACATATTTCAACAAATTTTTCTCTCTAGAAGTTTTTATCACATTATTTATGCTAAAAAAAGCTTACTGAGACATTAATTATACGAAAAAAATTCGTCGAGGGTTTATGTAATGTCCCCATAAACAAATTAACGAAAGCCACGCAAGTTTATAAATTAACACGTGTAATTTAATTTTTTTAATTCTCAAGATTAAAAATAATCATAAACCGAATAAAGAAATTACGCGATGAGTGAGGTTGACAGACAAGCAGTGTAGTCAACAGTGGGAAAAATTATACATAGTTTTTCGGGCTACCTGCCAAATTTATTCACTATCGTTTTTAAGAAACTCGTAAACCGTATTATTATTTGTTATTTTTAGTCTTCACCTACATCAGAATGATAAAGGTGGGTGATAATAAAAAAAGCCAAAAAACTTCGGAAGAGAAGAAAAGTAATTTCTTAGAACAATTATCAAGAACTGGCGCTAGAAATCGCGGGACCTCGTTCAAAACAATTTTTTGGACTCTGAAGAATATTTTAAATATAAAAGAGGATTTTTGTTTAGTCATTTACTTGATTAGCGGAGTCCTTAAAAGCGAGGGGGCATACCTATTGCGTTAGTTCTCCTAGTTATTTACTCAAGGAATAACATGAAAAAATTATTTTTAAAACCATCAATTTAAATTTGTGATATGATAAAGGATAAATATCAAAGTTCTTGGATGCAAATGAATTTTCTTTTGTTAACTATTTTAATAAGCAACAATTAGAAGAAATCACAAAATAATAAATGTGTAAATACATGAAATTTTATAAGAAACTGAAATTAAAATTTTTTAATAGTTTGGAATATTTATTAAATAATTTAAAATTGTATTCCTACATTACAAACTTGTTCTTTTTCAACTGTAATTTGTCTCCTATGAATGAGTAAAAGTATTTGTATGAAAGAGGGAGTTCAAAACTAGTTGAAATATACATAATAATTATCATTCATTGAATAATATATAAAGAAAATATGTTAATGAAAATTCGGTTAATTAAACCTCTGTGTAATTGATAATCACAAAAAATGTTGAGTGTAAGATTTTTATATTGAATTACTATCAAGTGATATTTACACAAATCACATAGGCTTGGGGTACTAAACAAAATTATATCATTAAATTTGCCTCTAGTAACAATTGAATCGTATTTAAATAAAGTACATTTTAATCATTTTCATTTTTCTCCCTCGATTGAATTTATTTTACTTTCCACTGTGTAAACTGCAAACAGTTCGTTAGTTTATTTGGTCCTAAACCATTTTAATAAAAAGCGCACTCGCGGCTTGAATAATAACAGTCGTGCGTACATATTTGTTTGCTTCAGCTGTCGCTCACAGCCCTTCCTCGTTTACAAATTAACTGTTCTTTATCAAAAATGGATTTACTCTTATATAAACTAAGAGCAAAAAAGTGAATTATTTATTTCAATGTCGATTGTAATATTTTTTAAAAGCAAGTATTTTATTTTGTGTTATAAATTTAAATGTATATCTAAATATACATACAAAATAGTTAAATTAACTTTTTTAAGGCAATGTCATATTATTTTAAGTTTTGAAGTATCACTCATTAAAATTACCAAAAAAAAATCATAATTATTCTCACAAATTTAAATTATTTTATTTATTGAATTAAATTCACGGTTATAATTTATGATATTTATATGGCAGAATTCCTCATAAGTAAAAAAAGTTACCCACGAAGTATCAGTTTATACAACAATTAATAATTGTTATTCAACGCTCGAGGGGTTGAGAACGCACTGTACCTAGTTAAAAATTACTTTATGTGGCGAAATTCATAAAATAAATGGTATATAGTATACAATAATTAATTTTCCTATAACGGTTTACCATTAAAAGGGGTGAAAACATATAGAATTTAAGTCATTGTACAATTAAACATCTTGATGTTTAATAATAATTTATAAATTACATTGAAACCTATCCGTCATTATTATTTAAATCAGTATTATTATTTAAAAAATAATATTTTAAGTAATTAAACATTTATCATACGACTTATATAACTTTGATTTTATGTTTTAATATGAAAAAAATATATTACAGCTACAGTGAAAAATAATACATTGTATATAAATAAGTTTTATTATATAATGGATAGTAATAATATTTGATTATATTATTATCATATAATTACCTATGCTTTAATCTTAATAAATAAAAAATAATTATTCAAGTATAAATGATGAAATAGTACAAGCACGACACCAGTTTTAAGAAAATATATAAAAACGAACGTATAGTATCGTGTAAAACTTTATTACATTTCTCTTTTTTTTTTTTGTAAAAAAATCGTTCCTCAACACAGGCAAACGATAAATTGTACCGGCGCTGAGATTATTATCGTCTAGTGTAAATACCGTTATAAACGGTAATATTATACAAAACTATGTATACTTGCATAAATTGTGGAACTAAGAGGAAAAACTACACAGCGCAAAACCTATGATATTCAATGTAACAGACGGTGAATATTTTATTATTGCAGTTATCCTGAGTTTACAGACACCAAGAAAGTGCTAAGCTTGATATTACTTTTCATAAAAAATCTCATAAAATCATAATGTACAACTGTGATATCTTGAAAGAAATTTATCAGTAGGCATTAAAGAAACTGCTGAATGCAGATGTTTCGATTAGGAACACAGATATAATATTTTATTTTAATATTCATTAAGTTTACACAAGCTCGAATTATTTTTTGTAAAACTTCTACGAGTCTGACAACAGTAATAACGGCAAAAGTATCTGGAAATGACATTCAACTGCACATTGTTATGTACCCGTTACCCTCTCGAGGGAATAAGTCTTCAAAAGTGTGTTTTGCAATTAAATAAATAAGTCCGAGTTTGTCTGAGCTACTACTAACGATTCCCCGTAGGCTATGTTAACCGATAGCCCACAACTTTGGGTGGAACTTAGTACCCAGAAATTCACATACACGCAAATAATCAGTGACTTGAGAATAAAGACAATTCATTATATTCAAACGTACATTAATTAGTACAAGAAAAAAGTGCTTTTAGAATTATTTTTCAATGCAAAATACTTACATTTAACAGTATTAGTAATAAAGTTAAACGATTCAACAGTTTCAGAGTGTTCAACCGTCAAGTTTTTCAAGTCAAACTGTATACTTTTATTTTTATTATCATTGTCATTTATACAGTAGCTCTAACGTTTTCAAGTGGTAAATGGTCTGTTTTATAGCACCTATATATATATTGCATGACTATAGCGTCCTTTGAATAGGATACACATAAAGATTTAATGGAACGGGACGAGTATTTACAGAGGAACATTACAAGTCAACAGAAAATTCAACGATTTGTTCTAGAATCGAATATGTTAACCCAACGATCGATTTGTCTAACTAATCTGTGAAACTAATCTTTAGGCTTACTGGAATATACTAAGATTTATGTTAACTATTCATTACGTGATAGTATCACCAAACAAGAATAAATAACCGTTATTTAAATTAAGTTAAGGCAGTGTGTAAAAGATCACACGCATACACTGTTGTTAAGTATGAACATAAAACTAAAAAATCTAACTATTTATTTTCAATAGAAAAATTTAATGAAAAATTTTCATGTCATTATCTTAGGTTAATTATGTTGGAAACTTTTTGCGAAACAATTAAAAGTTTTCGTCGAGTTTGTAATCTCAAGTTACAACATGCACACGACTTATAGTTATAAAACAATTTTATAAACAAAATAAAACAGGAAGTATTTGAAAATATAAAGTGAATAAGTAATAAAGTAATCGACTTTACTCACTTTACCTATTTCTAATGCTAACACATCCATAAATTTTGCACCAAAAGATTTTTAACTGACACCAGCTGAATGGGTACAAATTGCCTAAATTCCATTACTGTCAGGAAATCATGCTATATCTCCCTACAATCTGAGACTTTTTACGAGACATTTCATGTCAGATTTGAACGTTATGGATATGTGACAATACGGTTGCGAAAACATATAGGAATATATTACATTAAATATACCGAGTATTTAAAAAAGTATACATTGTTATAGTTAGTTACTTAATATAATCTGAAATGTAATTTTTGTTTTAATATAAAGTTTTTATTAATTAAGATGATATGAATATTCAAAAATATTTATTTATATATATACAAAAAAAAAAAAAAAAAGAATAACAGGAAAAAAAAAATTCTAACAATGACGGCATAGTAAAAAAAAAAAATTTATGTGAATAGATATAATTCTTTTTTTTTTATGTTTATCTTGGTACTCAAAGCACAAAAAAATATTTATTTGGAAACAAATAAACTAACAAACAAAATAAAACATCATTTCACGTGTTGAATGAAATTTCGAAATCAGAGAGCTAATAAATAATTCTTTAAAATACCTGTAATCTAATCATTTATCAAAGTAACTTCAAAACTTTACATCAAATACAGTTAGAGTAATAATACCAAGCTCGACTTGATAAAA